AAAAGTCATTTCTTATATGCAAAGATCTTGAACGAATCAAATATCGAATCAAAGATCGAACAGGGTCAAGTAACATATAACACTAACTGCAAAGACTCCCATTGTGTGCACACGGGAGTAAAACAAACACCGTTTAAATTAGTAAACACACGTTTGAAATTACGCTTTACGAACTATATTTTTGAGTACTACACGTAGTAAATAACGTAACTTACACTGGGAAGCTATCACTTCTCATTTCGTCTGTTTTACCGTTGCCCGCTCGTTTCGTTACTGCTCGATGTTGACAATCTCGTCTTCTAAGGGTTGCCGGAATCGTTTCGGTGGCGCTGGTTCTGGCTCACTCAACAAGTCATAAACTTTAAAATTGAGATCAAAATTTGCCACAACGTCCTTTTCTTCCTCCATTTTGTTGTTTGTCGTGTCCACCGCAAGTCACACAGGTTTAGACTACTGTCGTCTGATGTTTGTTATGGTCCGAGCAGCTGATCGCGCGCGTTCAATGAACCCTGTGTCGTCACAAGAAGCGGTGTAGAAGGACGCCGACCGGCAGCGTCGTTGTGTCGTCACAGACCTCATTCAGCACAGACCTCATTCTCCTTCCCACCTTTCCAGAGTTCCTTGCGGTTTGATCACCGAAAGTATATTCGCAGTAATAGAACTCAGCCTGCGCAGACCTGTGTCATATGACGCATTACTACCCGATTTTGGCTAGAATAGCGCTTCGCTGCCTTTTTACACTAGTGTTTATACACGGAACTTGATAATATTTTTTCTCCAATTTAAGTTGCTTTTTTAACGTATTGTTTAGTGACTGAAATATTAATGTTATTAATAATTCAATCTTTGAAGCAACAGAAACTAACACATAATAATGATTATTGAAATTTGTTTTTGAAGTTCGAAAGTACTTGCGTAATTTCCGGTTTCAACTAGTTCGAATTTAGAACGTCCTTGAACGCGATAAAATCTCGCGTAGAACGCCTTCCGAACCAGACACTAGCTTCGCAAACTTATTGAAAAATTTGCGCAATTTGAGCCCAGTTTGTTTTTAAACGTTTTCCAAGTTTCAAGTATCATTATTTAGAAAACAGACCCATGAAACGATTTAATATTTCTGTAAAATACGTGCCAACCGACGACTGAATTCGCAAAGTTCGAAGTTTCGAACAAACTCCCGGCACACCTTGCGCGATATGGGGGGTTTTTGGGGTCCGTTGACAAATTGATTCAATTTGTTTTTGTATAATGTAAACAAATCATTAACTTAATCTGGCGATTTTAAAGTTTGGACCCCCCATAAAAAAATCCTGTATCCGCCCCTGGTTAGATCGCCGAACATATATGTTCGTAGAAATAGAACTCTGGGAGATTGGCGAACTCCGCACAGTTCAAAGTTCGATACGCGTTACTTATCATTACTGCACAAAGCAGGAGCGTTTTCGATTATTCGCCTCGGGGCGCCCTGAGTGACCCTTCCTCGAGTCAGCTCAAGGTGCCTCAAGGCAAGGAAATAAAATAACACAATAAACGGCCTCGAGAAACTAAAGTCAGTTAAACAAAATGGCAGACCGTGAACATATACGCCCTATTTTAGGACTGTTGGTACAAATATTTGTGCAGCAAACTGAGATGCTAATGTTGGCTCTCATTATGAATAATGACGATGCATTTGGGCTGCTATTTGCAAGAAGAGCAGCTGTTTCGCGCATCCCGGGATACGCGAAAACCGTTGTTCCGCGATACGAGCCAGATGATTTTAAAAGCTACTTTAGGTTGGAAAGGTCGAGTTTTGATATTATTTTAAACGCGAGTTAAACTTTTGTTTACATATGCAAATTTCCTATTTGCACTCATTCGTTCATTGGTTACAGCTGTTATTTAACAGAGAAACAGTTATCGATTTTTCTGTGGTATTTAGGTAAGTTTATTTTATTTCAGTAACTGTCTCAAATTGTGTTTCGGTGCTTGAACGAGCATTATAAATCGAGGGAACAGATAAGCATGTCAATTCTTCTAGTTTTGATGTGTACATGTTTTTTAACTTCTCGTCATGTAGCTCGATAGGGTCTCTTCCAACATCCTATTCGAAATAGCCTAGTTTGTAATACACAGGAACTGTAGTCACTCGGTTACTTTAATAAGACGTGTCATGCCCTGACTCCGAATAAAATTTTTCAGTAATTAAATTACAATATATATGACTTGAGTTAGAACTTAAAGTGCAATCTTTCATAGGTGCCAAAGCATTAGATTTCACAATAAATGACTAAGTTTATAAACTTACTATAACCTTTGTGTTCTATGTCTGTTAGACGCGGAAAATCGAACCATTCAAGCCAGAATTGAAATATTCCCCAGAGTACAAGATATACGGTAATGTTAGGAAACCCCTTTCAGTGAACTCATAGTTGCTGTGAACGTAGAAAGTAAATTAAGGAAATAACACCGAATAAATGGCAAGTTAAATACTACGTCAATAATTACTGCGTTCGTGACTCGAACCGGCGATTTCCTTCCAAAATAAATACGTTAACAGAACGTTTTTTCTCCCGAGTTTTAGTGTACCACGTGCGCCATTTCACTACAATAACATTTCCTTGCAAAACACAGTCCGTGATAAAATAGTTTATATTTATGTTTTTACATGCTGGCATTAATAAATAGTTCGAATGTCACATATGTGTTTTCCACTTTTTGTAGTTCGGTTTCAAATGAAACAACCACGGAAAAATGACCACAAAATTAAAGGCTGCCTGTAGCAGAGGTACTATTGCGTAAAGGGCAAAGACCTATTGGAAGGAGATTGGTATATCGTGTGCCGCATTCACGGGGTACCGTTTGACCAATCAGAACGCGCAATTTCAGTATACGGCAATGCATGGCATTATAAAATAGAAATAATAGGGGAAGCGCAGCCTATTATTTCCTAAATTACCTTCATTGCTTTCAAAAGTTAAGGTCACTTTTTCTGGATCATCTTTGTCAATATTAATTAAACTTCCTCCGCCTGATCTTCTTCTGCTTTCAAAGTACAGTTCCAATACATCTATACTTGTGTCGGGATTGAATCCTGTAACTTCCAATCTACAGTCTTCAAAGGGATCCTCATCACTACATACGTCTTAAAAATGCACGAATTAAAAAAACAACATATGTCAATTAAAAAATAGTACGGCAGTATTTAGTTCGCAATATGTAAACATCGTTGTCTATCATCGAACATTATTTGTTGAGTATTATTTACCTTCGTCATTAGCAAACGTTTTACTTTCTGATTGTTCCACTGACTTCACTACAACTGTTGTGTCATCAATGATATGTCTGGGTTGTTTTAAAACTCTCACAGCAGCTGAGAGGGAAAAACAGTACAGCGTTGATATATACATAAATTAATACTGTCGGTAACACTTGGACGGAGCTAAACGGCTACTTACGAATGGCGGTTACCGTAAGTGTAATGTAATGTAATATAATACGATTGTACTCACAATCACGTTTTTCGAAAACCACGATAAACTTGTCACCTTCTTGTCGACATTCATTTACATCCCCACCTCCAGACCGACGTTTGCTGTCAAAATACAGTCCTATTGTATCTAACCGAGTGTGTGGGTCACAACCAGACACTTCTATAGTACAATTAGAGTCATTATCATCTGAAATAAACAAACACGCTTTATAAAACATTATTTGAGTAGTCCGGCTAGACGTTTCCAAGAAGTGATGGGGAATAGCGTTGTTTACCAAAAATGACGAGAATTTGTATCGGTCTAGTTGATGTGAGAGCTATTTTACAGTTTGAAAGTCTAAAAACTGAAATATATGGACAGTGGTCAACAGCAATATAAATAGTACTGTTTAATCATCTTCAAAAACAGGCGTTCATTTTGTTCATTTAGCGTTAGGAACTAATATAAACTTTACCTTGTACATTTTCATTGTCTTTCATTTTTGCTTTTTGCACCTTTACTCTTCTGTTGTTAATTACATGTGTGGGATTTTCCAAAACTCTCATCATGACTGAAATGGAATTGAAAAACAAATTACTGGTGATAAATAGATAATAAATGTGTATACTGTTAGCAACACAACAATGTGATTATTACAAGAACAGAACGGTTATATGCCTGAAAATGCATACATTCGGCTTCACTGACATCTGGCATTTGACAAGTACATAAAGAAAACAATAAACAACACACATTTCAATAATAAAATTAAGTCAATTATGTATCACGAAAAGTGATAGATATCAGTGTGAGGCATATTTTATTATAAATGCTTCTCATGAAAATTTCAGCATAGTTATAGTTAAAAATTTGACATTGAAACTACAGAAACTAATTAGTACTACCATCTTGGTCTTCAAAGGATACAAAAAACCTGCCATCCTCCTGTCGACATTCGCTGACGTCACCACCTCCAGACCGACGTTTGTTCTCAAAATACAGCTCTATTGTTTCTGACTTGGTGTCTGGATCACAACCAGACACCTCTATAGTATAATTAGTGTCAACATGCATTTCTGAAATAGAAAAGAACATGCTAATAACTTATTAGCTTAGTATATGTCAGTATCCATCTTTATTGTAGTTATGAAAGAGT